GGAAACTTGAATAGGTACATATGTAGGTATGTAGGTATGTAACTCAAGCCTTTCACCAACATTTTATAACAGTTTCTAATATCAATTTAAATGTTGCTTATCAAAGTGAAAATCTAACCGTAATTTTAAGGTAATCGTTTAATGTGATTGAGTTTAAGGTCTTAATACAGAAGAAAATGGTAACTTTCAAAGGGTTTGTATGAAATGCTAGGGTGGCTTTCCTAGTGAACAATGAACAACAAACACTGTACCTAATATCCGATTTTCACTAGGCATTAAATGACAAAATTTTTAATGATAATGTTGCGCATTAAAAAATAACGTGGCATTACGTTCATACAAATAGTCATTCAGCCTTATGATGAGTTTAAACTTCACACGAAATCGTTCACTTTTTACTTTTCTTTTATTTTTTTATATGTGACTATTTGTTAACGTAATGATTTTTAATGTCTAATATTTGCATACACATTTTTTCATTTAATTCATTTAATTCAGCATATTGGCCTGTTGGTCATTTAAATTCTCACTATTTATGACCAAGTATAAATCTCGCATAATAAATTTAAAATTGAATCCGAATCGCAATTTAATTGGATTTCAGTCCAAACAAATCAGCAAGCTGGAAGAGATATTTTTCTTTTGAAACGTAGTAGACTAAAGACTCAGTTGTCAACTTGAAAGCGTTGATTAACTTTCTCGAATGTGATAAGCCCAAAAAGGAGCATCGAATCAATTTTTATGCAACTTAAAAATCAAAATTTGTGGTAGAGAAGTATGTATTAAGTAATTAGTGACAGTAGAGTTGCCAAATCATCAAGTTTTCGCCTCAAGGTATGCAAAAATATAAATAAGTTTGTCTTTGTTGACCGACCTAATATTAATATGTAGTTCTCAAACAGTGTGTATGAAAATGTGCTGAAGACGTTGATTTTCAAACGTTCTTAATTTACAGCATATGCCTGGATTAAAATGACTGGGGCGGAACGTAACAAATTGTACAGATCTGTTGATTTTATATCTCCCGTTCGTTACACCTATTATAACCATTCGCATTTATTTCACATATAACAGATAGTTAATAGACAGTTAACTCCGTCTCGCTAATTCCGTTATAGCCCACACAATAGGATGGCGTATCCAAGGCGAAAGGCTACTAGCCATCAAATGTATCTGGTTTCTGAGCTAAGCAAAAAGACGCGCAGCAAAAAAATATATTTTTCTCCAGATCACTTGGTCAACTTTCCGTGTCTTGTGAGTGAGATCAGACTCTACAAAGGCACTCAAAATCGAACGTTCTGCTTGTCACAGCATACTGCGCAATTGGTTACATGGCCGTCAGGCTCAGAGCCCGGCATAGCGATTTCTGTAGGAGCTGAGAAACGATGAGAGTGAATACATCCAGCACTTACTGTACGAGTGCCTGCACTCCGCAGAAAATCTCTTAGATTTCGCACTACTTTGAAAACTTACACCGTTAAATGAAAACATCATTATAGCGTCTACTGGTTAAGTTAGCTTAGATAGCAGTCCCAGAAGTAAGGAACTCACTTAGACAATTAAGAGATCGTCCCTTGTGATACCAGATCTTGAACGACCCTCTCTATTTGATCGATAAAACGTCTCGAGCCGATTATGTATTTATAAATTCGGCTAATCTTAATGACCCAGAGCTTCTTAGGGCTATGAAGGATGTGCGGGCCGAAGTGTTTCAACTTTAGTCTTGCGAACGTTGGGCACTTAAAGAAGGTAGTGGTGAGGTGAGTATCTGCTGGGATTCACCAGAAAATTTTAAGCTTATAGAGGAAAATGTTAAGAAATTATCTGCTGCACATGAAAATGGGGCTCTGTGGAGTAAACTCTTTAGTTAGAGCTGTACACCTAATTTTACCTAACCCAGATCAGGTAAATTGGTTCTCCTGCAAATGGGTAAAGAGAAAAAAAAACAGATTTGTTTTTAACCAAAAATAAGCTCAAGGGTTTCATCTGAGCAATATACTTGTATAATATCTAATGCGAATTTGGTTTCTTCAAAAAATGTTGCCTTCTCATCACCCTCTTCTTAGTGTTTGTACGTAGAAGGCAAGATAAGCTTTAGGGCAGAATAAACTTACGTAATTTGATTTAACCATACCTCATTAGAACAATAATAAGGGATGATGTTAACTTTTTATGAAAAGGACCGAACGAAGAGAGGCTGATCTAGGCTTTCGAGCGATCGCTATAAAAAAATCTGCAAATTTGAGTATCTTACCAGAAGTAGTGAAGGATGTGGAGTTGTATTTTACAACTCTAAAGATAAATACGAGTCGGTTCAAATTTTTTCTGAAGGAACCTGGACCGTCGCAAGAATATATGGAAATATTTGGGCAAAAAAAATTACACAACAATTCTGAGGCCAGCAGTCGAATTCCAATATTCGCTATCGCTCCAAAAGAATAAAAGACACGTGCATTGTCTAGCTTTGGCTGATTACACACTGCATCTGTTCCTTTTCCATGTTGAATACTTTTAAGCCCCCTGCTTTTCGTTTAGAAAATTTTGGCGACGAAAATTGTCAAAATTCCGCTGCAGATCAATTTTCATCGCTACTTGGGCGTTTTTATGTGGATGATCGACTTGCAATCATCTATGTATGTACATATGTATGTGAGAGCCTAGCAACACCCTAGAACAAAGGGTATTCTTGTCGTGACGCCTAACAATACTTCAATTAAAGCGATCACTAAATACCAACCAATTCCAAATTTTGTCTCAAAGATAGATTTTTCCCACAAGCTCATTCCAAACTCACTGCAACTAGCTTTGCGGGTCATAAACCGGCCATAACTCAACATGTCTATAATTCAAAAAAAAAAAAAACAAAAAAACAGAATCAAGTTGTCATACGACCCGTACCAAGTATTATCAATTATAGAAACTAATAATAAAACTTCCGACCGAGGACCGAGAGTCCTTCTTCTTCGCCTTGATTGGCGCTGTAACCGCCTAAGCGATTCTGGGCGAGTCCACAGCGTTGTTCTTTTCTATTCCAAAAAGCACGGACGTTGGTAGAGTACGCGATATTTTTTTTTTTTTTAATATGTCTGCGACAAAATTTTTAGTCCCACGTTTTGGTTTAGCACGCGATATTTTTTAAAATTTGTCCGAGGCAAAATTATTCTTTTCGCGGTTAATTTACGAATAATTAACGGAAATTATCCGATAGGAATTTTTTCTTTGGGAAAACGTTGTCCTGTCAACTTCAGGGATGTTTCCAAACCACTTCATCTTTCTTTGAATAAAAAACGTTATACATTATAAACAGCTCTGTGATTGCATTACCTCGAAGAGTTTGCCATGTTTTTTTTTTTCATTACATACATAGTTCATCTAGTTAGATGGGCAGAATATGGAATGAAGAATAAAAACCCAAGGTTTCACGATGGTGGTTGTAGGCTTAGAGCTATACAGATCACATCGAAAGAGGCCAATCAGGAGCCTTAAACGAAATAGGTCACAGTGAGACGTAATGACACAACAGAGAATGAAGAGATAGAAAGTTTAAAACTTACTGGGTACTGAGAGAAGAGTTGAGTTCTCTCATTGCACAGTAAGTTTTATAATAATAGTTTTTTTGACAATGTTTTCACAAAATATAATCTGGACAAAAACTATTCTTCTGGCGATGAACTGTTTCTTTCAACAACGCTTCTCCCTCGTATTGGTTGGACTGGCACTACCACGCAATATCTTGACTTGGGCAACCAGTTCAGGGGCTAGGTGGATTTTCCCAAGTACGTTGACGTTACAGTAGCAGTCATGCGACAACATTAAAAGGGTAGTTTTGACGGCCACAGGATAGGTTAGGCTGAAACAAGTTTATCTTCTTTGAGCCTGGACTGGCGCCAGAATAATAGTTTCCCCTTTGAGATGATCACTTTTGGTGTTGGGAATATTTCCTTAACTGAGATATTATGTAGCAGTGCCCGGACTGGCTGTATCATACAAAATCCCACATGCAGTAACCAATCCTGTTGTTGGAATGTTTTTCTGACAACGGTTTTCTTGATACCGTCATGATTTCCTGATGATCGTTAGAATTACAGAAAAGGCCCGATCTTACATTTTGTATTACATATATGGGAATTCTAATTAGTAATTCAACAGTTCAATAGACGGAAGCTGTCTAGAATCAAGGTTGTTTAGCGCCTCGGCAGTTTTCTTTGTCAGGCCCTAGACGGAGGAAAGCAAATCTGACCAGCGCCTGTCCAAAGTCAACATTTATTTGCGGCCAGGTAAGTTATTTGCACTCGTTTGCGTTTCACTGGCCGCATGGATGAGCCTGCCGTTTAACCCACGGTGCCGTAGCTGCCTAAGTTGGCGAAACAGTCGTACATGATCTTTGTGAATGTCCAGCTTTGGCATGTAAAAAATATGAGACACAAGGCAAATTCTTCTTACAAAATCTAAGGGAGATTTCTAAATGTTCTATTTATAATACAAGCCAATTCATCGACCAGCCCAAGTCGTTCAAACAAATACCAACCAGTGATGATATCAGAGGATCCAGAGCTAGCATATAAAAATGGCGTTTACAGCGGTAATTGGGGTTTAGGCATAAAGGCTTTTGCAGATGCTTAAAAATCGTTGTGAAAAAATCTCTCTATCAAGTAAATAAATAAGGAATCGAAGCAACATTTTTTTCTTAGCATTGAGCTTATACAGCAATGCACGCAAGCGCCAAAAGCATTTCCGCTTTTTGTCAAAGTAAAAAGTCTGAGTCCGGTCCTACCGAAAAGTACACCAAATGATGTACTCTTCGAGCATTTACAAAGTGAATAGTATAGCAGAGCCACAAAGCCCTTAATCGCATTGCTGTGGGGATCGAAAAGGACGTGCTTAAAGTATTTGTGGTCAACAAGGATTTGTTTAAAAATAATATATAGGAATACAAATATAAAAAGAATCCGAAGGCTATTGCGAAAAATCAGTTAAGGCAACTTAAGGAACTGACTTACCTTTTTTATTTCCTATGTTCAGAAAGACGCAAATGTTGTATTTCGTAAAACCGAAAAAGAAAATAAAAGTTGCCAGTATTGAGCGCTGAGCGGAATATCAATTGCTGTTGCGCTGCGACAATGTTGGTGAAGATGTTGCTGACGACGATGACAACAACAACAACGACGACGACGACGACGACTACCACCTATACTTTGACTACGTTGTGGCCATTGCCAAGCGGCAGCGTTGGCGTCGCAGCTGTAGTGGCTCAAGTAGTCGCCTCCAGTTGTACCCAACACGTAAAACGACGGCGTGTCCTCTAACTGCTGCTCCACCTCCTCTTCTGGCTGCTCGTGCGCCAACGATTGGTAGCTGGCTAGCAACCAAGCGCTACTCCACACACCAGCAGCTGCTGTCGCAAACGTAACACTGGCAATGCTATGTGTGAGTTGTTGAAAGTACTTAAAAACGTATTTTGGAATATAACCAAAATTTATATCCTTTTTCCGTTGTAGTACGAGTAACGGTAGCGCTTCGTGCTTCATGCGCAGCTTTTTTCCCCCGTTTTTCCGGCGACAGACAAAATGGCGTGGAGTATGTAAATGGGTGTATGCATTGGACTGGCTGACTGGCTGATTGTCTGTCTAGCGTTGCCCTTTAGCTTAGTACTACTCGCATGTAGGGAACTGAGGAAGTGGATAAATACAGCACCTGCCGTTTGGGGAGTACGAGAGCGAACGACAGGAATAACACGACAAATTCTCCACAACAACAGCAGCAGCAACTACTGAATAAAAGTGCTTTTTGTTTTTGCTACAGTATATTTGTGTAGTGTTGTAGAGCGCACAGCACCAATGCTTTTGGAAGCAAGCAGCAGGAGGCGCGTTAACCGACAAAAAGTTCTATGTAGACAAAACGTTAGATTGCAAAACAGTTGAGTACCGGCAAAAACGTATGTAGGTATGTACGTACGACGAGAAACGTTAGGCTGGCTTGGTTCAGGGCCGAACGTTGTGCTTACGACGAAAAATGATGTACAAATGGTGAACAAACAAACGAACGAACGAACGTATGTAGCGCGCTTTATACCACGAACCGAAACAATGATAATAACAACAACAACAACACAGCACAATGACGACGATTCGTGGAGGGAAGTAACAGAAACGACGACAAACTGAATGTAAACTAACTGCGCCGCTTATGAGCGGAATACAGTAGTTATCCTTTATTAGACTTTCAACTTTATATTTTATGTTTTTTGTTAAGACCAACAACACACAACAGCACAATGTGTGTGTATGGAGGAGTTTAGCGGTTGTATAAGTGGTAGTTGAAGCCGGAAGGACGACGACACTTTAGCACTAAACCACTATCGCTACCACATTGTCGGTTGCAGTCAAAAAGAACGACGAGTGTGTGAAAAATTTTATTTTTTTTCTATTCCTCCTCGCAGGAGAAATTCGTTACTATTTTGCTTATCAGCAGTAATTCTTTGTTGTGGGTTTCCGGTTTTTTTTTTTTTTTTGAACACCAATGTTTACACTTTCTTCAATGTTGCACGTTTTCACTACTTTTAGAAAATTTTTCTTTTTCAAAATTTGTTTTTCCACGCAGTTTCAGCTATAGTGGAAGAATGGAAGCGCAAAAAGAGACATAGAAAACTTAATGATCATTGCGTATGCTATAAGGTTGTCTAATAGGGTGGAGCGAAAAAAACATAAAAATTTCGATTTCGAAATTCTAATAGTGCGCAAAAGTTGCATAACATGAACACATTTAAACGTGCCAAATCGTTTTTTGAACGCATAAAATTTAAGGTCGTCCAAGAGCCTGGATGTGTCGAAAAATAACTCGAATTATGGTTATTTTTTTTAACCTCAAGTTATGCTACTTTTTCTAGAAATATTTTGTGAATGCAGTTTTGTTGCACATTGAATTTTACTATAATAAAGCGCAAGTTTCAAGTTTCCGTTGATTTTTGGCAATTTTTTTGCTGAACATACTTTGTACGGAAAAGTCTGCGCGGCGCTGTCAGCAAAAAATAAAAACACAAATTGACAAAAATCAAGGCGATTTTTAGCTACTAGAAACTTGTACTTTATTATACTACAATTCAATGAGGCACAAAGCTGCATACTCAAAATCTCTGTAGAAGAAAGTATATATAAAACAATGATAATTTGAAAGATTATTCAAAACTTTAAGCCGCTTGGAGCGACCGTAAATGTTACGCGCTCAGAAAACGGAAATCGAAATTTGTTTTCGCACCACCCTAATGTCTAAGGATATGATCTTGCGGGCGCACTAAAACAAAGCCCCCCCCCACAGTAAATTAGTTATGAGCACAAACAAAATAAAAAATAAAATAAAAACGCCATGGAGTGGGTCTGCGTTGCTTTTGCACATACACCGCGCACTGTTAACACTCTGCCACTGCGTTTGTTCACGCATATTTCACATTTATTGCGGCTGTGACAAGCGAGATTTTTCGCCAGCTTTGCATTTTTCACTTGCTATGTGCTTCAATCTACTTTTCTTCTAGCTCCATTTATCATGCACTATGCACACTTCTTTTTTTTTTTGGATTTTGTTTTACTACACACTTTTTTCAAATTGGATTTATCTACTGATTTTATCGATTTTTTTCTTATGCCTATGCTTCGTTCACTTTGTACACATAGTAAACATGCTGACTGATAGGCGCGCAGACAGACAACGCCACACAATAAAAGCAAACACTTGACAAAGCAAATCTAAAGAAAACACTAAGGAAGGACAAGTGTATCCAGCAGCGACGTTAGACGTAAGTAAATAGTAAGAAAAAATTGTTTATCCCTAACTTGCTCGACTTATTGTTATTACAATTCGCCTTTGCTTTGCTTTTCCACAGTCATTTTTTCTATTATCACAAGGAAATGCGAGCGCAGCGGAGTAGGTTCATTTGTTTCGAATTATTTTCACATCCTTTTTTACTTTTCTTGTAACATTTAGCACACCACAAAATACAATAGTCTTAAGAAAAACTTGAATTTTTACAAGTACATTTCACATTGCCTGCACACAGATGTATGCAGTACGTTTGTGGGTGTGTATGTATATATTCAGGCGCAAAAGGATATCTAACACGCACAGTCTGGCTGCATAGCTGTTTATCGTTCGGTTTGACTGGAAGTACGACACTCGACTGGTTCATTTGATTTGCTATTCTGCGGGCGAAATTTTGTGGAAATGAAATGCAGCGAAACGAAATCGAAAACGCACACAAATGCAGCAAAAGGAACGTCGAGAGAAAAAGTCCAAAGAGCGCTTGAGTGAGAGCAAACGAGCGGGCCGTGTAAGTGTGGGAGAGCGCGCAAGTGGCGTAGTGTTGGTAACAGTGTTGGCAACTAGCACGCAGGATATGATTAGTTGCTATTTGAAGGATAAAACAAAAGCCTTTGGTCGAGTGAAAGCCTAGTTATTTTAGAACCTAGGACCGACTGTAGTAGATTAAGCACCTATGTGTGTAATTGTCCAGACTCGGCGCCGACTTATCCGATAAACACGCATCCAGCCTGTGAGGGTATCCCGCACGATATAAACTATCTCTTCAGCTACGCTTTTCAACACACTAGGCTTGCCTACATTCATCTCTTTTAGGTCCGACTACGCCACCACGCCAATTAGGCTAATAAAATTCTAATTAACACGTCAGTAGAATGGAGCTAGAAAACTATTATGGAAGTTTAAACGAGGTTTATCGATCCAAATCGCAGAAGGTATACTCCAGGGACGTGTTAATTGATACATAGAAGCGAAGCAGCGACTGTGTTGGGCAGGTTACAATCAAATCTTCAGATGCCCTCTTAAACACAATACGCTTGCTTAAATTTGTCGCTTTTTGGTCCGATCTCGCAGGAAAAAAAACAAGTTTCCAGGCCTACCAACTGATTAGGCTTATCAGAGAGCGTCATTGTATAAGTCGTAAATCAGATTAAATGCCATGGCTCAACACATTGGCAGTGTCTATTGTCATGCTAAAATAAGTAGACGACGAAATTCGTTCAAAACTATACGGTGCTGCTAACTTTCCCGTTTTATTACCTAGACTAGTCGAAATATTAGGCGATTTCATGAAATTTTCGATACTACTCGACTCTCGAAAAACTGCTACTGTACACGACATCCGCAATGATGCTGAAGAATATTAACATCACACCAGGAGAAAGGAACTAGAAGACGTCATTAAACTCAACCGTCTTGTTAATCGATACATATGTATGTAGAATTGAAAGGGCGATTGCGTTTGGAATGAACGGCTTCTTATTCTTCTTACTTGGCGCCGTAACCGCCTAAACGATTCGCCAGTCGTTTCTCTTCTGTGCCAACTGACACCAATTGTAAATGCCAAGTGAAGCCAAGTCCTTCTCCACTTGGTCTTTCCAATGACGCAATGGGGGCCTCCCTCTTCCCTTGTTACCACCAGCGGGTTCCGAGTTGAAGACTTTCAGAGCTGGAGCGTCGAAGTCCATTCCAACGGCATGGCCAAGACAGCGGAGCCGCTGTATTTTAATTCGCTGTACTATGTCCATGTCGTTGTAAAGCTCATACAGCTTATCATTCCATCGTATGTGGTACTCGCCATCGCCAACGCATTAAGGCCCTTAAATCTCCAGCAAAATCTTTCTCTCGAATACTACAAGAACCGCCTCCAAGCTTCGGCGCCACACACCAACATGGGCATGATAAGTGAGTTATAAAGTGTGGTTTTCGTACGACGAGAGAGGACTTTACTTCTGAATTGCCTACTCAGTCCAAAGTAGCACTTGTTGACAAGAGTGATTCTGCGTTGGATTTCCATGCTGACATTATTATCGTTGTTATTGCTGGTTCCCAAGTAAACGAAATTCTCTACTTTCTCGAAATTATAACTGTCAACAGTGATGTAGGTGCCATGGCGCGAATACGCTGACTGTTTCTTTGATGACACCAGATACTTCGTCTTGTCCTCGCTGCCCGCCAGACCCATTCGCTTTGCTTCCTTATCCAACTCGGAAAATGAATAACACACTTCGCATTTCTTATTACCGATGATGTCGATGTCATCGGCGTACGCCAGCAGTTGTACGCTTTTGTAAAAAATTGTTCCTGAGCGGTTCAGTTCTGAAGCTGTTATTTTCTTTTCCAACATCAGATTAAAGAAATCGGCTCGGAGAGGTTTTTCCCAATTCTGACAGAGCTGGTGGTATTGCTCAACGTCATTTTACACAGCCGTATCAGTTTCGCGTATAGGCAACTCCTTTTAGTGCTATTGAAAGCGGCTTTGAAGGCAACAAATAGGTGGTGAGTGTCGATCCTTTTCACTCGGGTTTTTTTTAGATTTGTCGTATTGTGAACAGCTGGGCTATGGTGGATTTTCGAGGTCTAAAGCCACACTGATAAGGCCCAGTCAGTTCATTGACGGTGTTCTTTAGTCTTTCACACAATACGCTCGATAAGACCTTGTAACCTATGCTTAGAAAGCTGATCGCGCTGTAGTTGGCGCGAATTACGGGGTCGTAGGGCATGCGTTCATCTGACCATACTCTGCATAAGAGTCATAGTCAGGTGGTGGAACAACGACTCCGTCATCATCGACCGGGGGGTCAGGTTCATCTTGTCCACAGCTTTCAGAGCTGTTACCATTCAGTAGGGTGGAAAAGTGTTCCCTCCATAATTTAAGTATGTTCTGGAATGAACGACTGGAGAAGTATTTTTACACCCCTTTCACCGCGCCCCTTTCACCGTTATCAGATTTGATCTACTTCGCCCCCTATTTCAACTTTAGCTGTTTAATATGCTCAAAATTTGTATAAGCCCCTAATGCGAAATCTGCTTGGGTTGACTTCGCTAAGCATGTAGTCCTTTAGAGATCTGGTTCTACGATTGACTAGTATTGGACAGGTGGTAATAAGATGTTTCATTGGATTCCTTCAACACAAAATTTGCAAATGCCTGTACTACAAAGCCCAAGCATAAACAGGTGTTTGTTACTTGCATACTAGCCTATTAGTGCTCCACATAGCTTATTTAGGTTTCTTCTACTCAGCATTTTGGTGAATCGTCTTGCAGCCATGTTGGATTTCTGCTCCAATCTTCATGACTGGAAAATGTGATCCTGTATCTCTTTGTAAAGCTGAGGATTGGATCAATTTGGACCGAGGCCCATGGCCTCCTTCTTTTCAGTGTTTGTTGTAAACTGACTAATGGGTTACTTAAGCACACGCGATCATGACAAAATCACTTCTACTCGATCCACTGCTAACCGCTTCTTCCCATCAAAAAAAATCTTCTTTGCATCGTCAGCACTGTACTTTTTTCTTCAAATCAGCACTGCACTTTTTCTGCAAGTTCTGTTTCGAGATGTAATGCCATTTCCCTTTAAAACTGCTATAATTTTACGTAAAAATAAGAACCTCTTCACCTTAAACACAAGCTGCCCCATTTAAACTGTGTTGATTGTTTTCTTAGACAGACTGACTCTTCTCTTAGACGGACTAGAGATACCAGAACACTAGCGTATCAAGATTAAGAAAACTGTTGATCTGGTGATGATCCAATGACGGCAAATATCGTCACAAGCTGAACTTCAACTCGTATAGATAATATTAATGCCTTGTGAAGTCAAAGAAGGCTTATAAAACTATGTAAAATAAAGATAACCGCGACTCAAGGGCTGATCCTGCTGTAAAATGGGGTGAGATAACAACCAGAAACATTCCTTCTAAAGCGAGAAATTAAGTAGACAGGTCCAAGGACTGCCGCTGCAGCCTGCTTCCACAGAATCGCTTTGGTCAATTTTCATGCTGATTAAGAGCTTTCTTTATGACATTTCTACTTTCGCCTTATGGAGTGCATCACATTTTCGAAGCATACCAGAAGGTTCCATGTAATGAGTAGACGACAGCGGCGAAAGATTGTTTAACCGATTAGTTTAAATTAAGTTGTAGATTATCTAAATGCACGGAGAATCTGAGGTACTTCAGATATCGATAGTTTGAACAATAAACCCTCACAGACATTAGAATTCGTTTTTACAACATTTCAAAGTCTAGTCGTCTAGTAAGTCGTATGAGAAAAACGATTATATGATTGCTACTGGACTGCTTTTATATTCATCCTTTTTCGAAAGCTGCCTACCAAACTTAGAGTGAAATAATCTTGTTGGAAAATCCACACCACAAAATCCAAATACTTTTCACTACAACACTGAACCACATACGTAAACGTAAATTCATTATTGAAATGGCACCTAATAACAACAAAAGCGCTTGAAAGCGCATGAAACGGTCGAGTATAGGGCAAATTGCACAGAAAATGTAGGAAAATCCAGACAAAAGTAAAAGAAAGGCTAAGCAAGAAAAAGAGGTGTAATGAGGCAGATGAATGAGCGAACAAGGAGAAAGTACTTGAAGTGAAAAAAAACAAAACGATAACAAGAATGAGGAATGGAACGCAATTGGAAAACTGTGAAACACAGAGAGAGAGAGCACAAGGATATATATGCAGAGAGCGGGAAAAAGAAAGCAGCCGCTGCTGAGAGCGCTAAACGAATCAAAACACTGACATTGCTGTCGTTTGCTGAGTTGCAATAGCAAGGATATTTTGACAGTTGTGTATATTGAAATGTATGTATGTATGTGTGTTTGGATGTGCGTATGTTTGAGAATTGCCTTTTCATGTGAGTGTATGGAAGTGTGTTTTTGGATTTTCAGTTTCAGCGCTTATGTAAACAGACAATACGAACTAGCGAATCGACAATGCGGGTATTAAAACGAAAAATGTACTAACATAACGCACATACATACATACATATTTACATACATTTCGTCTACAAACTCAAAGGAATGTACAACATCCATCGACTGGATGGGCGAGGATGTAGAGAATGAGGGCAATGCAACAACAAAAAGCACAGAAGTAGATGTATGGCTATGTATGTAAATGCATGCCTATGTATGTATGTGTGTACATTAGAACGTACCAGAAAAAAAAAAGTTTGCTGTATACCCCCCCGGAGTCTACAGTATTTTTGCAAGGGAATTTCCATATTATTTTTTTTTTGTCGAACACAAGTTTTTTTACATTTTTCGTGCTAGATATCTTCGGCATATAGAATCGGATCTTAAAGTTTCGTACATCGATGTTCATGTCTCGAGGATAAATTTTTTTTCTTCCAAAGTTCATTGACCTTAAGTACCCCATGCTAGTATCACAGTTTCTACCAGCCTAACGTACCACCCTAATGTCAGTAAATTACAGCTCGCCGTAAAGCATTAAACTTTTGTCTAAGGAAGTATATACATATATATTTCTATTCTAAGGCAATTTCGAGGTTTATTTTGGTTGAGCCAAGAGCCGCCTTTTTACATTTTTCTTCATATATTCGGTATATGTGTACTACAGTCGGATTTTAAGCTGCGATCTAACGATATTCTTGTCTTGAGGGGAAAATTTTTTGTTTCAAAGTTCATTAACTTCAAAACCCGCGTACTAAAACTTACTTGGTTTTTCTAAACCGGTTCCAACTGTTTTTTTTTTTAACATCTTTAGGCGGTTTTTTTATTTTTTAGAAAAAATCGCTTAGGCGGTTAAAGCGCTAATAAAGAAGAAGAAGAAGAGGAAGAAGGTGTCACCGAGTAATGTAAAAAAGGACCCTAGGTACGGCCCAAAAAATAAATTCCAAATTAGCTTGCCAAAAAAATTTTAGGTTTAAAGGCGTACGGCGAACTTTTTTTTTTTTGATTGTAAGGTGGTACGGTCTAATGTATATATGTACATACATATATGTGTACATATTTATATGCTAAGTACATACATACATATGTACATCTGTGCATGGTTCGTTGCCGTTGCCGCTATTTGGTTTTATTATTGTTGGGTAGTTTCGGAACGTACTAACCGATTGTAGCCGACAGTGCCCGCACCCGAAAAATTCGCTCTGGAACATGGGAAAAACGCTGCATGGGAGGTACCTAGTGAGAAAATTTTTGATGGCTTTTTGGTGGCTTTGGGATTTTCTGGTTTCCGTTTTTTTTTTTCTGTTTGCAGACTCGAGCGAAGGTAAATTGGGCGATGGTTTTGCATGAACTCGTAATAATAAAATATTTAATAAAACTATCATAAAAATACTGAAAATCGCAGCTGTTTTGATGTATGAATTACTTGCTACTTCAAGTCGGTTTTATCGACAGCTATCGACGAAATGGCCACCTTTTAAATGTCAGATATTTTTTAGCACCAAAGTGTAATAATTAAAATTTGTTTACCAAATTAACTTTTTCTCATGAAGTAGCTTTAAATTTCAACTAAACGCGTTTGTCGAAAAATTAATAATAGTTGATGCTGCTTATGGA